TGGAACTGGTTTGCTTTTCAGACTTAACCACGGGCGGGGTGCTGGGGGGGGAAGCAACCAAGCAAGAAAAGGCGAATCGAGCCCCCTCCCCCATTAAACCCTTGGGTTTTTTATCCCTTCCTTAGGGGTAGCCTAAGGGTTAGACCCCCCTCCCCTTCCATCCTCCCGGAAATAAATAAATAAATGAGCAAAATCGGTTCCGTTTGGGGGAGGGGGAAGGCATAAATTTATTTTTTGTGAGAAGACTAGCCTATTTCTTAAAAAGGAAAGAAAACGAAGAGCAAATCCTGAGAAGTAAAAAACTTAAAGGTGTTTACCTTGTCATCAGCATGCACGCTAATTATCTCGGGCAAGATGCGGGGATCTATTGTCTTGTTGCTTTAGAGCCTATGCCCCGCCTCTGGTGGCAGCCTAAAACCTGGCGTCTGGCTAAAACAAACGAAAGGCAGCGCTGAGCCTCCACTCCATCCAATTAAGGCGGACTTGGTCCACTCGGTTACGTGTTCATCCAACAAGATCGGCGTGGAAGCAACACAGCAGAATATTTGGAAAAAAAAAAAAAAGAAAAAGGAAAAGAGAGAGAGTGAGTGAGAGAGTTTTGCCTCCCCTTTCCCTTCTTTTCCCCTCCTCTCCCCCCAGCCGCCGAATCATGTCGATGAGCCCAAAGCATACGACTCCTTTCTCAGTGTCTGACATCTTGAGCCCCTTGGAGGAAAGCTACAAGAAAGTGGCCATGGAGGGGAGTAACTTGGGGGCTCCCCTGGCAGCGTACAGGCAATCGCAGGTGGCGCAGCCGGCCATGCAGCAGCACCCCATGGGCCATAACGGGACAGTGACCGCCGCTTACCACATGGCAGCCGCCGGGGTCCCCCAGCTGTCCCACCCCGCCATGGGCGGCTATTGCAATGGCAACATGGGCGACCTCCCGCCCTACCAGGACACCATGAGGAACAGCGCTTCCGCCACCGGATGGTACGGAGCCAACCCGGATCCCCGCTTCTCCACAAGTAAGTGCTCGCGGCTTCCCCCAGCCCCTTCCCCACTTCAGGGAGGGAGTCGTGGCGCGGCCCCAGGCAGGCGGAGCAGTCTGGGGCAACGGCCAGAGCGGCGACCGGCGAAGTGGGGCTTGGGAGATGGGGCACGCTTTCCTAAAATTGGCCCGGGTTGCCTCCCCCTCTTCTTCGCTCTTGGGCCGCCTGATTTAGGGCGCTGCCAGACTTTGAAGGCCGTAGCGGCTTCTGCTGCAGCGGGGGATGGACAGACCTCGCTCCGAGGATTAATTGCCACCAGAGCGAGAGAAGGAGAGAGGCTCGCGTTCGCAAGCGGCAGCTGTAATTGGAAGAAATCGGCGAAAAACCGAGGGAAGCCGGTGGTGCCTCGAAGGATGAGCGGGGAAATTAAATTCAGGGCTGAGGAAGAGGTTAAGACAATGCGTTTTGGTAGTAGAAAGTGACTAAATAAATTCGGTCCTGTGCAAAATAAATTGGGCCTCTAGCTCTTGTCTACGTTGGGAATATTATATCAACTTCAGAACAACACCGGCGGATCAGTACTGTAGGCGTAATGATGTCTAACTTTGTCAATGAGGAGACGGGGAAGAACGCTCCATTGATAACTCAGCATACCGTTTATGATTCTGCACCAGTTCTCTCTGAAGGTGTAGGCACCGTATCCATGGAAAGCTACTGATAAGGACAAAATGGTTAACTGTGTTTCAGCACAACTCCTCTTAATAGGGATTTTTCTCTCCAGATCTTCCTCTCGCAGGGTTTTCAGTGGCAGCGTTTAGGCCCTGGGCACATATGGGTGATCTGATTTAAAGTTCACAAAATATCTCCCATATTTAAATGTGAATTAAAACCCGATTTCTTCAGGTTCTTAAGTATCTCGTGGGCGGTCTTGTTTACTTTGTTCCTGGCTTTTTATTTGTACTTAGGCTTTTTAAAGGAAGAAAAAGTCTGGCCACCCGGCAAGCGTGGTTCTTATTTGGGGGGGAGGTGGGTGGGGGGCTTGGGGCTTCCTGGATTCGGAGGTGAAAAATTTTTGAGCCAGCCTGGCCAGCGGGCGACTAACTCTGCCTGTCTGGCTCTTCTCAATTGCAGTCTCCCGCTTCATGGGCCCTTCGTCTGGCATGAACATGGGCGGCATGGGGGGCCTGAGCTCGCTGAGCGACGTGAGCAAGAGCATGGCTCCGCTGCAGAGCGCGCCTCGGCGTAAGCGCCGCGTCCTCTTCTCGCAGGCTCAGGTGTACGAGCTGGAGAGGCGCTTCAAGCAGCAGAAGTACCTGTCGGCGCCGGAGCGGGAGCACCTGGCCAGCATGATCCACCTGACGCCCACCCAGGTCAAGATCTGGTTCCAGAACCACCGCTATAAGATGAAGCGCCAGGCCAAGGACAAGGCCGCCCAGCAACAGATGCAACAGCAGGAGGGCGCCTCTTGCCAGCAGCAGCAGCAGCAGCAGTCACCCCGCCGGGTGGCCGTGCCGGTCCTGGTCAAAGACGGCAAGCCATGCCAGGCGGGCTCCAACGCGCCCTCCACGGCGCTGCAGGGCCATCACCAGCAACAACAGGCGGCTGCCACCGCCATCTCTGTGGCCTCCAATGGGGCCGGCCTGGGACAACATCCGAGCCACCAGGCCAGTAGTGCCGGGCAGTCGCCAGACCTGGGCCAGCACGCGGGCAGCAGCCCCTCGGCCCTGCAGAGCCAGGTGTCCGCCTTGTCGCACCTGAACTCCTCCACCTCGGACTACGGGACGGCCATGTCTTGCTCCACCTTGCTTTATGGCAGGACCTGGTGAAAAGGACCAGCCGGCCTCGCCTTCGGCCGGCGCCCACTTCCCCTTTCTCCCCGAACGAGCTGACATTTCCCCTGCCTCCCCCAATACCCCTCCCTTGACATTTCCCTCTTTTTTGTTTGTCTGTTTGTTTCGGAGAGGAGAGGAGGGGGGTTGGCCTTGGTCTCAGTCGGAAAAAAAAGAGACTCTGCTCTCGCAATGGCTGCCGCCGAAAGTCGTCTGGAGAAGTTGAGGGCACTGGAAGCCATTCAGGACCGTGTGTCCTCTCGGCTAACGTGGAAGCTCCATTGGACGCTTGTATGTACATACACAAACATTGGGGCGAGGGTGGGCTTTCCTCCCCTCCTTCCGCAAAGTTCACATCAGCACCTCTGTAGACACGAAGCCCCCGACCCGGGAAAACGAAGGCAACGCAGTGACACTTCGGCGCCGTAACATCAGCTCACTTCGGTTCGATACGAACTTGTAGCTTATACAGTCCATCACAAACCTTGGACTAAACCCATAGTTTTTAGCAATCTGAATATTTTGTTGATTTTTAAAATATATATGGAGTAAGGATCTACCAAACAAATCAAAGCTTTTTGTTTTTCATTTTTAATTTTAAGGGGGAAAGCCACTTTTAAAAATGGATCTCCACAGAACCTTGACATTTGGGGCAGTTTATTCTTTCTTGACGCTCCTTCCTTCCCTCCCTCCCTCCCTCTCTCTCTCTTTCTTTCTCCCCCCCCCCTTCTTTGCTACTTATGTAGATATATTTGGCTTTAAATATATTTCCTAGGAAGCGTCTAATAAATTATAAATATCACCGACATTCCTTATTGCCTTTGGTATTTTTCCTGCTCTTAAAAAGAAAAGGGAGACGAGTCCCGCCAAGAAGATTCCCCAAAAGGCCCACTGAATTCAACGGGGAAAATGTCGCAGCCATTTCAACAGGAAATACGATTAGGAAAACTAAAAAGCAAAGATATACCGTTGGTTCATATATTCCAGATTACCTCCACTGCGAGTGAAGGGAATCCAAGATAATGAGAAGACAAGCAGACAAGGGAATCCAAGTGGCGTCATTCATAGGGGAGAGACAATATTTGCAGACCCACTAATTGAAATTCCAAAAGGGAGCATTTAAAATACTGTTGATGCCAAGGGTGGGAAAGATAACAAGGGACATACTAACAGGTAAGGGGAGAATTTCAGAACCTTGTAAAAAGCATCGGCTTTTATTAACTTGTAAAAAAAAAGAACACACCCATCATTTCTACAAAGGTTTCCTATGTAATTGTATTTTAAGGGAAGTACAGTCATCTTATTTATAATCAAAATAAAATGATAGTTTATTGTGCACGAGATGTATCGTGTAGTTTGACTTCACCGCAACCCGCACACACTCCGCGGAGTTTATAGGGCCGGAGGCGGACGCGCACTCCCCGCCTGACGCTTGTGCTTGTGCGTATTGAGGAGGAGGACATATGTGGACCAGGGATAGCTTTCCAAATCTTAGTGAGCGGGGATCGGTCTGTCCTTGGCTGGCGTTAGAGGCAGAGCAGGTCGCAGAGACAGTCTGAAAACGTGCTGAGCAGGACTTTCTGGACTTCAGGCTATGGCAACCTAATTTACCTGCGTGTTCAGGGCTGATAGAAGGGAACGCAAGGTCATTTCCTCGCAAGTGATTTCCAGCGTCGCCCAGTCAGCTTCGGGGCAATATAAAGCCTATTTTCATGACTGTAATGTTAGCACAGCGGTGGTTGGATGTTGCTATCAATCATGTCAAGAGGCATCCAAAAGAGGAGACCTTCCTGGACTTTCCTTTGGGGTTCTCTTTCTAGGTGACCTTCCTCTCCACCTATGTAAGAATCACTGCTTGGAAATCAAGACTAGGGATTTTCAATTTGCCAAAGGCCAACGCGGGGTTGGGTGGGATGTGGCCCTCTGGGCCGATGGTCGCTAGAGCTGCACAGTCTGCGAAAAAAATCTGGGACGTTCTGGGTGTGAGATCCCACTCTGCCCTTCTGCGGATAGCAGGGGTGGGGTGGGGGATAGGGAAAAAAAGAGGGGACCCTTTGGCTTTAAAAAGAAAAGAAAAATAATGGTTCGCGGATACAGGTGCCAGGTGTGCCGGCGGAGAGAGTAGGCATTCCCTGTCATGTCCTGCGCATACATCTTGTTTAGAGAGAGAAAGAACGAAAGAAAGGAAGAGGGAGAAAGTGAGTTTGGTCAAGTGCACGAGAAACATTTCCAGCTGTTTCCCTTCCCCCTCTTGCCAGATCTATTTTTTTTCTCCCTCTTTTACAGCTCTGTGCTAAAATTAGCATCTACAGAGCCCAAAATGGAGCACTCAGAGCTGTCATTTGAAATCCTAATGTGGTTTTCTTTTCTTTTTTTTTTCTGGTGAGCTTCTCTTTTTTTAATGAAAAATCTGCATGCATTCAGGGCTTGGCAAAGAAGAATCAGCGGCGGGATGGGGGGGGTGGGGGTGAGGGAGCCCTCACTAGCAATAGCTCCGTATATTGGGAATGGAACATCAAGGTGTGGAAGATAGGATAACAAATCGACCTGCCTTTAACTGTTGAAAAATATATCCGATTTATAGATTCGTCCCACCTCTCTCATCCCAGTAAATCCATTTTGGTGTTTAAATTAGCAAGGCGAGATGACGGGGTGGTGGAAAGCAACTGCGACACATTCCTGAAGGTACTTGTATTTCCTCTTGCCTCCCATCTGCCCATTAGCAGTGCCCTAAAGTTAGACCAGGGTTCCCAGATCTGTTCCTTCCAAATAAGTGTAAAAAGGCTTCCTGAAGTCAAGCTCTATTCCAGAAAACTGTTATTTTACGTTTTAAGGAGGAAAAAAAGGGGGAAGCCTCTGGGGAAATAAATGGTCTGGTGTTTCTGGACAAATTCATAAACACATATTTGGAGGTGGAACTAATGGCTGTAATGGATTATTATGTACACCATCTTATCTTTCTGCAACTAGATTTAGTTTCGATTAAATAAACTGGCTTCCACTTTGTCTGGTGTCGGCTTAGTTTAAAGTCTATTTGCTTATCCCACCGAAAGGTGAATTCATCTCTTGATAGACCTCTAGAGTCCAAGCAAACACAATTCAAACGTTATTTACCTATCAGTCAGGAGAAATGCAAACAAAACTGTTCTAAGGAAATTACAGTTCTTTTCCTTTTTAAAAGAAGGAATTGTATCATTGCTTTATAACTTTCCTTTCAGGGTTGAGCTTTGGCAGATTGAGGCACATCAGTTTTTTTTTTTAAGGACAAAAAATATTTCTTATTGAAATTTCCTTCCGGAGACATGCAGAGTATTCAAACAAGTCCTAGTTTATTCTTATTTCTGTACTGCCTCAGACAAAATATATTTGCTTTTGAAAATTGAGCTTTTAAAAATATTGTTTGCATGATAACCCTGAAATGGATGAATACCTGCAAGCATAAGCGTAGCCTAGGTTTGGAGTAAAGAAAACTAATTAAAATCGGAAATGATGGAAAAGACTTCACACTTCAATTTTAATGAAAATTTTACAACTAAACACACACACACGTGTGTATATATTACATACAGAATATGTGTGTGCATGTGTGTGAATCTCAGAGGTTTTGTACTTCAGAACAAAGGCAATAGGATTTGAGAAGCTAATGAAAGATGGATATTTATTTATGATAGTCTTGTGAATATATTTTTTCTGTAAAATTAACAGGCAACTTGATTGTATCAATACATTACATGTACATATAGTTGGAGGGATGTGGGCCACAGTATGTTGGCTTGCAAGTCTGCCCAGGATGATAGATCCTAGTCTGCTTGGAATAGTTGAAGCATGCCTGAGGTAAAGCTGGGTTTTGATTGCAATTGCGGCAAGTTGGCCAAAAATATGCCCAAACTGGTACTGTCCTTACTGTTAACAGGGAGTGATGCATGTGACCTGGATATGACCAAGTCTGATAACCTAGCCTATGCAATCCTTGCCTTATTAAAAAGCATTATGTGAAAGGCTAGAATGATCAAAACCATTACGGGCAGTAGAGGTCAATATTTGTGGGCCCATTTGTTGATGACCATGGCATATGGAAGACTGAAACATGGAAGAGGAGTAAATGTAAAGAGCATGAATTAGTAAATGAAGGAAAAGAAAGAAAAATAGATAGATTGTATGTCTGTGAAACTAAAAGAAATGGAAAGGTAGTAATAGAGCTAAACACAGGTGATCTGCTCTTGTAAAGTGGAGTGGATGAATACATGTAGTATTCATAGTATTCATGAAGGTGCACATTTAATTAGGAAAGAAAAGACTAAAATGTAGTAAAGTATGAATTGAATGGTCTCTACATTGTTGTGGGTGCAAATGAACATGGGAATCCATAAGTTGAGGACAGCTGTGAAAAATAGTTAATAGTATGTTGATTTAGAGAAAGCATTTGACAGTGAATAGACTTGAATTATGGCATGTTTTTCACAAGTGTGAAGGTTGATTGCTAGAAGAAAAGCTTGTGTGAGAATAAACTGAATGCTTACTGAATGGTTCAACAGTGAGCAGGGAGTAGAAAAAGGATGCATGATGACTCCTTTATTATTTAACATATTGATGGATAAATATATAAGGAATTTTTGTGGTGACATTTGTGTAAATAGGAATATGAATATACATGTACTTTTGTATCTGATTATATCATTTTTGGCTGAGAACGCTAATAATTTCTATGAATGTTGGATAGATTGTATGATGCAACAAGGAGAATGTATCTCAATATTAATGCATCAAAGGGCAAGGTAGTTTTGTTTATCAGGAGAAACAGAATGAATCACAAATTATACATAAAAAGTAAAGAAACAAAAAAACAAAAAACTAGCACAAGCAGATAAAAGTTTACTAAACATGGGGAAATGGGTGGAGAAATTTTGAGTCATGTGTTAGTAGAAAAGTGGTGGACAGTATATGATCTTCATCATACAGTAGCCATACTTTGCTTTCCTGAAGGCATTCTACTTGCT